CCAATATTAACATTTCTACAATATTCATTACTTTAATATTTCTAAACACAAAATACTTACTACCTATACGTCAAGTTATTAACCAACGGCTATTAACACGCATTGTTTTATTATTATTACTGTAATCCCACTTTTTATAGCTCAAATAATCTTCACCCTGTATTCGAATTGGGATTACCAATTGTAGCGTGGTGTCGAGTTGAGATTAACTATGAACACCGCTACCAAGAAACACGTGCCAAGCGAATCAGAAGGCGTAAGAAGCTCGTTCCAAATGACTCCATAAAATCCCCGAGAAGCCAAATACCAGAAGACAGTTAATGGACCAAGTCGAGGTTTATTAGCTGGCGATCTCGTGGCATCGAAAGGATACCGAGATCGTGTCAGGATACAAGCTTGGTTACAGAATGTAACCGAATTCGCGCGAAGTTACAATCAAAGTGTGTGTATAAGAATGGAAGCCCAAAGTATCTGTCATTAGCACAGTTAAACAAAAGCACGTTAAAACAAACACTGGTACAGTTGGTTATAATAATAATTGTTTTTATTAAACCAGTCGTGTTCTCGTGATAAACGTGAGTCACTACAGGAGCCCCCCGCTAGAAAGGGTTTACACTTTCGATAAATAGCGGTTTGAATTGTGGGACTGATCGGCTGACGAGCGATTGTAGGACGGAAGAATTGGCGAACAGGAAAGCGATCGTTGATCATCGAGTTGCCAACGAAGGTCGTTTTCGGAGAACGGTACCAGGAGCGATGTGTTGTATTTGTTGCTTGAGTCGGCATGCTACCAGAGTGGTTTGTATCCAGAATCTGAAGAGGGCGTTCGTACGGGTCCGGACCATAAACGCTGCAGACGAAGGACGAAACCACGTTGAGCCAAAAGACCAGAAGCGACCATAACGACCAAGTTCGAGACCAAGCGTATGCCAAGCATTCGAAACCAATATATCAACTGAGTGCGTTGACAAGAGCGTGGGTGGCCAATCCAGCTTTCGCCAAGGTTGACTGAAGTCGACGGAACCAAACGGAGATGATCGAAGGCGTGGGCTCAGGAAACAAAAAGAAAATCAAAAAAAGAAGAGTGTAGCATGCGTGTAGTATAGGAATAACCCTACACCGTATCGGTTGTTGACTGTGCGGCTAGTCGCGGAAGCGTACGGGTAACCGTACTCGGCAACCCGAACGTGAGACGGCAGTCTCGTTCGCGTCGCGTGAGCCTGCAATCTCATCCGAGGTCAGAGGCGGCGTGGTCTGCTGATCTGGACGTGAGACTAAAGTCTCGTCCGTAGACGGTGCAGATGACGCGTGCTGTTGACCGGGACGTGAGAATGAGGTCTCAGATGTATCTAGCGTGGGACCTGAAGAAGATTTAAGGATCCCGCTAGGTTTGATAGGTCTAGCACTGAATCTCAGGGTGTCAGATAGGGCACTGTCATCGACGTGTGCTGGTTTGAGACGATCAATGCTGACGATCTCGACGCGGCCGTGTCGATCAACCTTGAAGGTTTTTTCGTGATGAGCGATCATGTGAAAAGGGCCTTCGTAAGCTTGTTGCCAAGGTTTGCGTACCGAATCTACTCGTACAAAAACATGTGAACAGGTAGATAACTCTCGAGGGAGAGCGACCTGTCGATGTTGTATTCGAGTTGACACCGGAGACAGCGTTCGCATAAATGCAGACAGTCGATGGACGTAGTCTGATTTACCGAAATTAGGTCTGCTCCGTGGTGTGAAGAATTCTCCGGGCAGACGCAATGTCGTGCCGTATACAAGTTCAGTGGCGGAACATTGGATATCTGCCTTTAAACTCGTTCTCACCCCTAAAAGAACGAATGGTAAGGTTTCGTGCCAGTTGCCGTTTTCGTGTGCTCGTAGAACACTTTTAAGTTGGCGGTGAAACCGTTCAACTTAACCATTTGGTGCTGGGTGGTAGACGGATATGCTTATGCGTATGCATTCCGTACCAAGCAGCCGGGTCAGCGAGGAGAATCGTTAATAGGGTAACATTTCTCGAATAAAGCGTGGAATTCATCATCACGCGAATAAAAAGTGACAAGGATTCGGTACACATACGTGTGAGTCTATTATATTAATACTATTCTTATCGTTATCCGTCATGTCGCTTATATGATATATTGAAAATATGAAAATATACGACAGACGTGGATAGATAAATCATAGACTCACCGAATTGGCTTCTTTGGAAGATTTGATCAGAAGTTGAGGCGTGTTCCAAAATACGGGTCACCAATTGTAGCGTGGCGTCGAGTTGAGATTAAATGTGAACACCGCTACCAAGAAACACGTGCCAGACAAATCAGAAGGCGAGGATCGAACGTAACCAGATTTATTTCGTTGGCGATCTCGTGGTTTTGAACGAATACCGAGATCGTGCCAAGAAGTGGTACAAGTGGAAGCAGAAGACAGGAGTACGTGCGAACAGTACCAAAAACCGCGGAACAATAATGGAAGGTAATGGAAGCACAAAATGGCTATAATTAGCACAGTCAAACAAAAGCACGTTAAAACAAACACTGGTACAGTTGGTTATAATAATAATTGTTTTTATTAAACCAGTCGTGTTCTCGTGGTAAACGTGAGTCACTACAACCCAAATTGTCATTTTAAGTGTGTTAAGCATGAAGGCAGATTTTTAAAAAAATTATTACATGTATTTCCCGACCAGATGCTGCCGCCTTCTTTTTGATTTATCTTTCAGCTTATCATTACCCGGGGGATTCTTCCTAGTCTTGGTAACCTTCGGCGCACGACGATCCCATCCAATTCGGTATCGAACCAACATCACGTTGATTCTGGTGGGAGAGTAGTGTAGTGGCATTGAACAATAACCGCACAATCCACAATGGACTAGAGTTGATCGGATGGCATGGCTCGACCATGCAGGCGTGGTCCATCTGAATGTTACCTTATATCTTCTATTCATATTAAATATATTGTTCCTTCTCTAGCCTAACCTTGTTCTACATCATGTATTGGTAACTGACACGATACAGTGAGTTGGTGTAGTCGATGGTGTGACTTCCACGTAAGATCTTATAGATTAGGCAGTTATATCATGACAAATCTACAATTTTGGGATTAGGTCTATTATTAGAGCAGTACTAATATCATAGTAGATCATAGTTCTACATATTCACCTGCTATAAATTCATGCTTCATTTTCCTAACACGTTTATAATTTACAGCTACAATTTCAGTTGCAAAAGCTGTGAACTTGTAACAGCTTAGGCACGAAAAACTCATTTAAAATAGTTCGGAATCACAGTGGAACCTGGGATTAACGATACATTTAACTATATTTCTTACCTCAAGCAATGGAAAACGTTGAAGATCCGTCACAGCATCATATGGATGCAAATGTAGGTCAGTGTCTGTTTTACCCCAAATTTCCCAGGACGCCAACAGAAGAGACTCACCTCCTCTGAGACATTCTTTTAGGTATTTATGAGCACCCTCGACACCATTGTTCGAGTGTGTGCCCAGGCTTAGCACATGCCACCGATAACAGTGAGCCCTCATTGACTTCCGAGCAATCCAGTTATCTCTTATATAATCAAATGCCTGTGGAAAACGGGTTCTTAGGTGTTCATACCTCTGAGTAAATCTGAATATAATGCGTTATTAAAAGCGATGCTCACATGCTAGATTGCCTGCTTTTTATGAGATCTTCCAAGTATTTGCGTACATAGAGATTTCTGAAATACAGCAAATAGTCTGTATCGTTAACATTTACCTTCCTGAAAAATGCTCTTAAGACATGGAATGTGCACACTATTATTTTGGCATGACTGTGAGTAGGCTGTACCGCTGAAATTTCGGTCGCTGCCGAATCCATAACGATAGTACGTGTATCATAAATACCACGCATTATGTCTTTGAAGCATTCCAGTAGTCTTACGACGTCTTCTCATCGTTCTTGCCTGCAAAGAGCATACATAACATTGCGTCCTTGCCCAAGACTATCAGTAGTCACTAGCTGGAACAGTGGAAAACCTTATTACTATTCGTTACACAACTTTCTTGGTCTGATAAGTCGAGTCAATACATACTACCTCTGAGAACGCGTGGTAAGTAGCTATTCGCTCTCTGCGACTGAAGCAAATCATAGATATGTTTCCATGTTCATTGGATGCTTTTATTTTAGTGTTTGCTTGAACACGCTGAAAAATGTCGTTGATATTTCTAGTGTCTGAACTCAACTAAATACAATGTGAGTTTAACGATCTGGGTACAACTGTGAACGCATTTCGGCGATATCGTCCTTGGTAAGCCGTTTATGGAACTTCCAAGAAACCAGATACCGTAAACTACGAGTTGGCGTATTACTCAATAGAAACGTTCTTAAATATAAGTGTTCACTTGACGTCGACTTTCGTCTTGAAGGATCTACAGGAAAATATTCTTCTGTGCAAGGATGTTTGTGCACGGTCTTGATAGAGGTGACTTTTAGCTCACCATTTACTGCACGCACCCAAAATCCAGATTGGCAATGGCAATGTTTAGAAATAAAACATACGTAGATGACCGACGTCGTCTTCTTTGTCTAGGTTGTGGTGGTGAGTTAGGAGTTGTATGCTCTTCAGAAGAATGATGATCACTACCATCATCTACATCCTGAACGCAAGCATCTGACTCGGATGAACTGAATTTACGTCCATATGTACAGACATATCTCACAAAGAAATACTTTAGAGATGGGTCATCATTGTTCTTTATACATAATGACATAACGTACTTAGTATGCGTATACTAAAAAAATAATTATTAACCACAGAAGTCATATTGCCTTATGACCTATTTAAACAGGTCTCAATATTGTCCCAACTTGTAAATCGTCAAGATAACATAATATCATTGAAGATTCGTCTTACATCATGCATCATCACGATGGCATCGTCTTCGTTACTTGAAGGGTGGACGTTACCGGACATGGTGTGGCTGAACTCAATTCAAATTCAAAAATATTTTGATTTGACCGCTTCTGAAAATTTTCATGGACTGTCGATGTGACGCACCAATCATCTTGCGACAGTTTGACCTTCAAGTGCTCGCAGCCTTCGCCAGTGAACGGTACCCCTGAAGCGTTGCCTGAGAGCGTTGTGATGTAATGGGCTTACTTAAGCGATTTCCCAAGAATTTAGTAAGTACCTAGTAATTTCTTGGTTATCTGCATAACGATGTACAATTACTGACTGGAGCTTATGTAAATTTCTGTACTGGTTTTGTTTTTTGTAATACCGTGTTTTTTTAAAGGGACAAACATCTGAAACCTAATAATAATTGGCTGACGAGCTGTTACGTGAAACCTACTGTTACATCGTTAATACATCAGAACTCGTTCTTTCTCGTAATTCGGCTACTTCGTCATCGTTCGTGTATACGTAATAGACTGCTGAACCAGCAAACGTACTTCAATCTTTCCCCACAGTTTACTGAAAACAACTTACTTGTAAGTTATACATAGCTTTTACAGGCTAAGTAGTTCAGCTAACTCAGATGGTCACTGTGGACTTTTTAAGTACATTCTCTCGGCTTCCTAAACTTATCGTGTTCGATCTCGGTAGGAAAAACAGTAAAGTTAACTTCATCTCTAGACTTCACTCTATGGCCTCTGTGGTGCGACACTCACGTTTATCCTCCATTCATACGAAAGTAAGGCTCGTATAATTTTTTTTCATGATCGGTGATTTGTTAGAAATAACACTGTATACGATGCTAGTGAGAGACGAGTTGATGTCTACTCAGATGCGCAAGTAATATTGAGGTAGGAATTTAGTGAGATGTACTGTAATGTATTCACTGCTTTACAGGATGATCAAAGAGTCTCCGAAAATTAAATTGGGATGTGCTTCACGGTAAGTACTAACCCTATCCATCGTATATTTTACTTGGATGCGTAAGTAACTGTTAGTTATGTCCATAACTGACCGACTAAATCGTTGCTTAAACACCCACTACGTCAGTCTGGTATGTTGTGTCTGTAGGTTATCCCTGTTGCATATAACCTGCCAATTGAAGGATATTGTTATCGCATTACTTTAGTGTGGCTGGTAATTTTTATTCATTTTGATAAGGCACACACTACTGGTCGGTTTGTTTGTGCATTTAACTTAACGACTATAATCCCTTTAATTACGGTACTAATCGAGTTGTCTTTGCTTTTAAAAACAGATCAAGTTTAAAGCCAAGTTGTCCTTGTCCTGACTATAGCTTTCACATAGACTCTGGGGTCGTCAGTATTGCGTTCACAGTTCTAGTAGAATATCTGTAAGATATATTAAATCCTACAGTAATTATCGGTAAGACTGTAATTTATCGACGACTTTTGGGCAACGTTATAATGGCCTTAGGATGTCCTAATTACTAGGGTTAAATGAGAGTTATGTATGTATGTATGAGGAATTAGAATTAGGATTTACATTTGAATGTTAGGTTTAGGAATTAGATTTAATGTTTTTATCACGAACCAATATAAGTTGTAATGCCAAAATGGTATTTAGCCAAATGAGTAGATAAATTTTGCTTCAAAATCCAAGATATGTTGTCTTGAATGTGATTGGTCCATCCCTAAGTTATAGTCTCACCGAATTGAGATTTGTGTTTTAAACAACCTCGTATCACCATTCCAATATATCTTGACAACCACCCTCATTACTCTGGTTTTATTCCTCACTAGCCTATCAATGAGTTTGATTTAATACTATAACAAAAACAGTTTGTAATAAATACTAAAGTGAACGTTTGCTGTTTCATATTTGAGCGTTCTCTTCACATCAATAGCTAGCCAGTTTTTTTTGTTACATCACAAGAAGTAGTTATTGTTTACGATCCCAACATTTCTTTCATATTTTATGTCCAGTTATCATTGGTTCTGGTTTTATGTACTGATTTATGGGAATGATCCATATACACTAGTCAAGTAGTAGATAGTTATTCTTTTTTGTTGTCCAGTCATTTTTGCTAGGTTTCTGTTGGCTTTTGTGATATGATTACCCTATTAGCCATCTAAAGGTGACTGCTTAATGATTTTTTTGGTTAATGATTACTCATAGAACGATGTAAAATCTTGTTTTAAGAATAATATTGCATTGAAAAATCTAGTTGATGCTGCTTTGAAATCTCATTCATTATTATAGGAAAGTCTTGAATGGAGTTTCACACTTTTAGCATGGCATCATACTTCCCAATAATTCAGGTAATCTTTGTAGTACGCAGACATGTCAGCAAATTAGATCAAAATTCAGTAAATTGTATCAACAAAAGTAGAATTTCAACCTATACCAACAGTGATCTAAGCATCATACCCATCTCAAACGTTAGTGGCCGTCTGAACTCAGTAGCTCAGTAAATAATGTGTTAAGGGCTTGAAGCGAAAGGTATTGGGTTCGAGTCCTATTGCGGAGATCGGAATCAGGCACATCCAGCTCTCGAGTCTCAAAAAGGGTAAGATATGTACCCCAATCTTCACTGCTAGCTACACTTCATCTATTCTATAATTCAGGATAGTCCATATGCACGTATCAAATATATAGCACATCTGATTTCGAAGTGAAGTGCAAATATACATAATAGGTCGCTAAGCACATGGATAGTTAGGCATAACACGGAATCTGAAGGAAATTTCTGATACTTCACTTTGCATCACATACATTTAAAATGAGGATATTGGTAAAGAATCAATAAACTAGGAGTGAATAAATCAGTGTTGAGTGAAGAATGACAGTAACTAGTGATTATTAGGAGTATTTGAATTATTGTACAAACCAGGAATCCCAAGAATAACGCGACTTAACTAAGAAGTATTAGATAAGCATAAACGAACGTATTGTATTTGGGATTCGAAATCAGACAGTCATCAAGCACAAAGACTCCCAAATGCCCTCGTACGTATGAGGGTCGGGAAAGTCAGCTCTCCCTCAAGAAATGCTCTCACATGGTTACGCGTATACAGCCACTTCCAGGAAAGCCCTACTCACTGCTTTCTCGTGGCGCGGGTGTTGTTTACGAAATTGAGAGAGGATGGAAAGCGAATGTCCAGCGCTTTAACCGGGTTGGTGGACATGGAGAGTCCAGGACACAGGTGAGTCCGTCTCGATTTCGATTGTTAATTGTAATACTGATGAGTACATTCTGGATAATACATAGTCTACATCCAATGCACTGTCGAACAGGATGAACTTAAGGAGAAGACGTACAATCGATTACAGAAACTTAGACTCCAATTTAAGCTGTGGCGAATGTAGTGTTTGTATGAATTAACGATTCATTTTTAATTGTTTATTATTATTTCTTTATTTGATCACATAAACATTGGTACGAAAGGGTACTGAACACGTATGCGCCATATAAGTCACATGATTTGTTTATTTGCTGTGATACTGCCTGGGTGCCCAAACAAAAGCAGGTGATTTTCTCAGGTCACACCCGGAGCCTTCGACCTAAAGGTCTAGTCTGCAAGGCAGTGACAACATCAGAAGACTCAGTCACATGGTAGCCGGTGACCAACGATTGGTTCATGCGCCATTTGTTTCCTCAGGATCATGGAGCCCATGTGACCATTGGTTTGTAATCAGGGTTCTCCAACTCCCTAGATGAACGCTCCATGTCCACCAACCCGGTTAAAGCGCTGGACATTCGCTTTCCATCCTCTCTCAATTTCGTAAACAACACCCGCGCCACGAGAAAGCAGTGAGTAGGGCTTTCCTGGAAGTGGCTGTATACATGTAGCCATGTGAGAGCATTTCTTGGGGGAGAGCTGAATTTCTCCACCCTCAGCCCTACTATTTGGGGGCAGTAGTTTCTTGAGAGTTACATAAGGAAGTGAAATAGGCTTCTCTGGAAATGCCGAAGTTTTTAATAAGTTGTAGATTTCTTTTCCAGTGAATGCAAGGAAATTACCCACAATGTTAACATCCTCAACATCGTCCTTGGTCATAGCCCAGATTTCGAATCTTTCCATGTAATCTTCAAAAGCATGGAAATTCGAATGTATGTCCGATTGTCTCATCACAGGCTCCATCGCGACGCCAATGTGATTGTTAGGAGTATTTAGATTATTGTACAAACTAGGAATCCCAGAAGTAACGCAATTGTACCGTGACGAATTAGATTAACACAAACGAACGTATCGTATATGGAATTCGAAATTAGACAGTCATCAAGTACAAAAGAATCATTAGTTCATACAAACACCACACTAGTTTTCAACTTTATTACCTTAGATTTTAAACAGTTGATTTCTAGGATCTCGTATATTTATGTTAAATGGCTTGCGTTTGTTTAAGCTGGTCATTTAGTTAGTCATAGACTATTACATATCACAAAGTCAGTTAATAGTATATGGTTTCATCTCCCCAACTTCTTTACTAACGATTTTTGGATATCACAATAATAATGTGTACCGTCTAGAAAAGTGGAATGCCACATAAACTTAATATCTTTTAGATTAAATATCGTAATTACACTATAAAGTGCTGTTAGTATAAACCATTCAGTTAACACCCTCCAAGCTCTAAAACCCTGTCAAGAAATACGTATAAGTTTTTCCAATTTTACTTTTCAAGCTGCACAAAGTAGGTGTTTATGTTGTGCGAAACGGAAATAAAAGTTCTACTAGTAAACTGTCTAGATCTGAAAACTCAGCATTACCGAAATAATCCAACTATGTATCAAAAAATTATAGACCTTACAATTTTTAAAAAAAGCTATCTATTAAGTTAATTATTTTGTTTTTATGTAATTATTTTATTTAAATCTAGTTCTGTGTCATGCTATGAAATAATTAAGTTTATTATATAAGATCAAACTATATTCTTTTGTTTGGACTGATATCTCAGGTTTTGAAGATCGTTTTCGAATAAAAATAATTTATAAACATTAACATGTAGTTTACGTAATTTTACATGAATAAAAATATTTAACAGTTTAGATAACTACTTTATGGCAGTGAAACATGGCTGGTAGGAGTAGAGGATATTCGTAAGTTACTAGTATTCGATCATAGGCATTTCTCGTATATCCTGAGACCATCGAGTAAGTAATTCAGGTGTTAGGAAATGTGTACTAGGTAAGGATGACAAATCAATTGGTGAAGTAGTGAAACTCCATCAATTGAGATGACTGGGACATGTGCTACGTATGTCCAACCACCGACTGCATCGACGAGCGATATTTTATGGTGTAGGAGTAAGTTGGAAGAAAGCTAGTGGTGGTCAGACCAAAACATGGTGTGGTACGTACTACTTATATTGATATAAGCGGTATATGACGCGAGTTAGGAACGTAATGTCTGGCAGCAGAAGATGGGGGAAGATCAAGAAAGGAAGAGCGGGAACACGATGCAATTTGTATGAGGACGCATGAACAATGAAATGTGAGACAACGGATTGATGTTTGCAACAGAAACAGTCCAGTTTGATATGACGGATTGATATTTTGCAAATTAACGACTTACTATATGGTTCTCAGATTTAATTGAGATGGTCTGTAATTATGTGGTCAAATACATTCGATTGTCCCCACTGGTGTTCTTGTTCACTACAATGGCACAAATCCATGAAGTTATTGACAAGTGGACTGAACCATGTTGGTAGGCGTAGACTATCTGGTTGGAATCCGCGAGATGATAGCAACCGATGGTTAGAGATCTTGAATATCATGGCTCAAAATCGTTTGCAATGGCGCAGGTGCATCCACTCTTTGTGTTCTGCCAAATTCTAATCTTCTGAATTCTTCATGTCCCTTTTTATTCTCTTTCCAAATTTATTTCACTGGATTATACTCCTTGAATAACATCTTCAAACCCTAACGTTTCCGATTACTGCTTATACTTTTACTACCTCTACCACTATGGGATTTGAATCGACAGTTGTATCTATGTGGTGATGTGGTATGGCAACTCGAACTGATGTACGTACGTACGAAGTTCTTCGTTGTTGTTGACTGACTGAGATAACTAATACTTTTTTGATTGTATTCGATCTGTTGAAGTCTTTCTCTGTATAATAATTAAATTATAAGGTCTAGTTGCATGGATTAACTGACTTTTCTAATACAAGGAAGCTTCTTTCTTTCACGAATGTATCTACATTCGTTTGAATAAATATTTGCCGGGTATCATTTTCTTAATAATAAATCATTCTCTCTGATATCTTATTTGATATTAAAATAGTTTTTTATCCAGGCGTAAATCACTGCTTTTTTATCCTATATTTGTCATCTTTTTTCAGTACTTCTGCTGTCGATGTTGCTCGACAACTTCTACAAGCTCTTAATTGGTCGGATTTATTTGATTACACAGAAATCTACCCTGGGTCTAAAACTGCTCACTTTAAGAGGTATGTATTAATTGGTTTCACATTTAATTTTTTTTAAGTACAGATAAGATCCTAAGAAGGTATAATTTCGAAAAGATTTGTTTTCAGATGACTAAATAAACAACATTTCAGTTGCTTAGAAAAAGTCTAGGATCGGAAAGTTTAAAAAACGTATTTTACATCTCTATCTAGGCGATTGTTCGAATACCGTATAGCTCAATATCTATAGCTATAGACAAACACTACCCTATGAAGTTCAGTCTGAAATTTAGTGTGCTGTTTTAGTTTGAAAGCTCAGTAATTATCCACCATTGTGCTTTTGGGTATTCTACTTCTTTTTTAGTCAAATTGGTTTGTGTTTAAGCTGTTTGTTGCGGTAGTTAACCCTTCCCCGGCTTGAAATTTTTTGATAAATATATGGCCAGCAAACGCATTTCACACACAAAGCATACTTTGTGTGATATATTGGATACATAAAAATTGTCTGCTCTGGCCCTCATCGGACTCGGTTACTTGGATTACCTGATAACACTATTTCATCTAAATAGTCCTCAACTCAGAACACAAATGGAACAGGAAATTAATTATATTCCAAAAACAAAACAACTGACGAAGTTGAAGTTTCAGTAAAAAACTCCTAATGTATTGATAACTTTTGTACAGGAAGATTCTGGAGTCTTCTCCATTTATCTGCTTGCAGTCATTGTATGGGAATAGACCAATCAGCGTGCCCCAACATAATCGTGTATGGAACATGCTTTAATATATTCTTTTTCCTGTTAACAAGGGCCGATCGATAAAAGTCCTGACACTACTTTAATTAGAACCTACCTTTCAGCCAAACTAGTAATCCTCAATCAATTCAACTAATGGTTGATAGGCACCTCTTTCTTCTTATCTTCAAACATTTTCCAAAATTGTTCTCGAAATAAATAAAAACCTTTCACATTTTCATTTTAATCAGTCAGTCATGCGTAATGTAAAAGCCTGGCAAATATGTGTATCGGCTCACATTGTCAAACTACATTACCACAGTAGAATAAAATTACCAGGAAAAATTCCATAGTAAAGAGAGTTGTAACGGTATTGGTAGTAGTAGTAGTAGAAAAGGTTAGGTATAGATAATATAATTCGAGAATAACAAATAAATTTACAGAATATAGAGTGTAAAGTAATGTAAAGAGAAGACAAAGAACGAATGCACATTACTTACTTACTTACTTACGCCTGTTACTCCCAATGGAGCATAGGCCGCTGACCAGCATTCTCCAACCCACTCTGTCCTGGGCCTTCTTTTCTAGTTCCATCCAATTCTTGTTCATTTTTCTCATGTCTATCTCCATTTCTCGGCCTAATGTGTTCTTTGGTCTTCCTCTTTTCCTTTGGCCTTCAGGATTCCATGTGAGGGCTTGTCTTGTGACGCAGTTGGGTGCTTTCCTCAATGTGTGTCCTATCCACTTCCAGCGCTTCTTCCTGATTTCTTCCTCCACTGGGATCTGGTTTGTTCTCTCCCACAGTACGTCGTTGCTAATAGTGTCCGGCCAATGGATCTGAAGTATTTTGCGTAGACAATTGTTAATAAACACCTATATTTTCTGGATGATGGCTTTCGTAGTTCTTCAAGTTTCTGCCCCATACAGTAGAACTACCTTGACATTTGTATTGAAAATCCTGACCTTGGTGTTGGTTGAGAGTTGCTTTGAGCTCCAGACGTTCTTCAGTTGTAAATATGCTGCTGTTGCTTTGCCGATCCGCGCCTTCACATCTGCATCCGAACCACCCTGTTCATCAATGATGCTGCCCAAATACGTAAAGGTTTTTACATCTTCCAAATCTTCTCCGTCGATTGTGATTGGATTAGTGCAATCTGTGTTGTATCGGAGAATCCTGCTTTTCCCTTTGTGTATGTTGAGACCTACTGCTGCTGAGGCTGCTGCCACACTGTTTGTCTTCTCCTGCATTTGTTGTTGCGTTTGGGATAGAAGGGCCAGATCGTCCGCGAAGTCTAGATCATCCAACTGCATCTTAGATGTCCATTGTATCCCGCGCTTCCCTTCAGACGTTGACGTCTTCATGATCCAGTCGATCACCAGGAGAAAGAGAAAGGGTGAGAGTAAGCAACCTTGCCTGACACCGGTCTTCACTTTGAACGACTTTGTCAACTGTCCTCCATGCACAATTTTGCAGTGTAATCCATCATATGAGTTCTGTATGATATTAACTATCTTCTGAGGCACGCCGTAGTGTCGAAGAAGTTTCCATAGTGTTGTTTTGTCCACGCTATCAAATGCCTTTTCGTAGTCAATGAAGTTGATGTAGAGTGATGAATTCCATTCAATTGATTGTTCCACAATGATCCGTAGAGTTGCGATTTGGTCTGTACACGATCTATCCTTACGGAATCCTGCCTGTTGGTCACGAAGTTGGGTGTCTACGCAGTCCTTCATCCTGTTTAACAATACCCTGTTGAAGACTTTTCCCGGTATTGAGAGAAGAGTGATGCCCTTGTAGTTATCACACTTGCTGAGATCGCCTTTCTTCGGTATTTTGATCAGAAGTCCTTCTTTCCAGTCTGTTGGTACTTGTTCCTCATCCCAAATCTTATTGAAGAGAATGTGGAGTATCCTTGCAGCTGCCGCTACGTCAGCCTTTAGTGCCTCTGCTGGGATGTTGTCCGGTCCTGCTGCTTTGCCACTCTTGATTTGTCTGATGGCCATGCTGATTTCTTCAATTGTTGGTGGGCCAACATTAATTGGGAGGTCCGTGGGTGCTGCTTCGATGTTGGGTGGGTTCAGTGGGGCTGGTCGATTCAAGAGTTCTTTGAAGTGTTCTACCCACCTGTTTTGTTGCTCTTCAATGTTGGTGATTACCTTGCCTTCCTTGCTTTTCACTGGTCGTTCCGGTTTGCGGCGATTTCCAGAGAGTTTCTTTGTCGTGTCATACAATTGTCTCATGTTTCCTTCTCTTGTAGCCTTTTCCGCCATCGTTGCTAAATCTTCCACATATTTACGTTTGTCGGTTCTGATGCTCCTCTTCACTTGTTTGTTTATTTCCGTGTATTCAGCTTGTGCCTTGGCTTTTTCTGCTCTTGTTCGGCTGGTATTGATCGTTGCCTTCTTGTTTCTTCTTTCTTGAATCTTATCCAGTGTATCAACAGTGATCCATTCCTTGTGGTGGTGCTTCTTGTGACCCAGGACCTCATGACATGTTGAAGTGATTGGCTCTTTGATCCCCTTCCAGTTGCTCTCCACAGTAGTTCCTTCTCCATTGAGTAGATCATGAAAGGCCTGGAACTTGTTGCTGAGGACTATCTTGAATTTGTTGAGTTTGTTAGTATCCTGGAGAAAGGCCGTATTGAACTTTTGTGATACTGTCTGCCCCATTGTCCAGTGCTTCTTGAGTTTCAATTTCATCTTGGCGACCAGTAAGTGATGATCTGATGCTATATCAGCTCCTCTCTTGGTTCTCACGTCCTCTATAGTCCTCCTGAACGTTTTGTTGATGCAAATATGGTCGATTTGGTTTTGTGTAGAGTGATCCGGTGAAGTCCATGTGGTTTTATGTATGCGTTTATGTGGGAATATGGTGCCGCCTATGACCAGCTTATTGAAGGCACATAGATTTGCAAATCTCTCACCATTTTCGTTTCTTTCTCCAAGTCCGTGTCGTTCCATGATGTCTTCATATCCAGTGTTGTCCGTTCCAACCTTGGCGTTGAAATCTCCCATCAGAATGGTCAGGTCGTTTGTTGGGCACTTCTCGACGATTGACTGCAGCCTATTGTAGAATTGATCTTTAGTGTCTTCATTGTAGTCGTTGGTAGACGCATAGCATTGGATGATGTTCATTGAAATACCCTCTTTCTTTGTTTTAAACGAGTCTTTGATGATCCTTGGTCCGTGAGATTCCCATCCTATAAGTGCATTTTGTGCTTGTTTGGACAGCATCAATGCAACTCCTTGTGTATGTGGTGCATTTTCTTCTTCATGGCCGGAGTATAACAGGAGCTTTCCTGTAGTTAGTCGTTGTTGTCCAACTTGTGTCCAATGTGTTTCACTGATCCCAAGTACCTCTAGGTTGTATCTTCTCATTTCGGCAGCAATTTGGAAGGCTCTCCCGGTGTCCCACATTGTACGAACATTCCATGTACCTAAATAAATGGTCGCTCTGGTTGTCAGAAGGGGCATCGGCCTCGTAACTTCCGAAGGAATTCGGCTTTCATCATGAGGCGTCATAATTCTTCTAAATGAAGACCTTCTGACTCCCAGGGCAGAGTTTAAAAGGTTTGAATAATTTTTTCTGGTTAGCGTTTTTTTAGCGAGTTAGTTTTCTACGGGATGGGGACGCTAACCCCATGCCCAACCCTCCTCCTTTATCCGGGCTTGGGACCGGCAGTAGCCCCCGGAGGGACTCCAGGCGGAGTTACGAATGCACATACTCTATTACAAATGATTCTGGGCCATACCACTTAAAATCTCCAACCATTGTTCACGATGATTGTGTAAACCCTAATTTGGTATTTTGAACCTATGTACTTACATAGTTTAGTTCAGTTGACAACGATATCTTGAATTAATAACACATTTTAGTTTGACCATCTTTCACTTTCTTTAAATCTACTTGTACATTAGTCACTGCCTTCAATTATAATCTATTTTTTTATTTACTCTATATATTTTAGATTTCATGAATTATCTGGTATAGACTATGCGGACATGTTATTTTTCGATGATGAAACTCGTAATATTCATGAAATTTCCAAATTAGGTGTACAATGTCATTTAGTTCAACATGGAATAACATTAAATCTCTTAGAAGATGCATTAAGAAACTTTCAGCAACAAAGAAGAATTCATGAATATTTAAATTAACTAAGTTTTTTTCATTGTAGTTATTCCGTAAATGCAAAATTATTATTATTTTTTAAAGAATAAATTGTTTTGTTTCTGTGTTTTGAAGAAGTACATTATATTTTTGTAACGAACCTGCTATAGAGTGGTATATTACTCTTAAAAATCAGTAGTAAATTGTAGTAGTATTTAACGGAAAATACAGTTCATTTAAGTAAAAAATATTAGCAGAAAGATGATGAAGAGTACTAGAAAAAGAGAACTACGATAGTATTAGTGTAGGTTTGTATTTTGAACCATATCCGATAACATCTTAAGCCGTTGAAGTTTGACTATATCTCGGAATTTAGCCAGGAAGTCGTAATAGACCTAAACATTTTTCTTCCATACCTCTGTGCCATGCAATAAACTATCTTTCTGATTTTTTCTAACCGACATCAACGTTTGCAATAATGGTCGACATGAAAGTTGCTGAGGTGACATTTGTAGTACATCTTCAAGGCAGTCCGCACAAGATGCACGTATGTCACATTGCAAGTGGAAATAAGTGAATTAAATTCATTTTGTTCATCGACCATTCTTACTACTTGGGCAAGAAAGTTGCAAACATTTACTCCAAAATTTATATACCCAATACAATTAGAAGTGCCGCATTTACAGTCATTTTGTTATCACGAATATATGTGGTCGACGAAGTAGAATTAATTTTTTGGCAGCACAGCTGAATATCATTTCGGAAGGAAATAGTTTTTAATAATTTGTAATTTTACATATTCATAAATAGTTCACTGATGAATTCATCCTAATCAATGGTAGATGTAATACTGTTTTGTATTCGGCTTCCGTTGAAATACCTGACTAGTCGAATATTCTGTCAAATATTTAAATAATTAAATTATTTCGAGGTTTTCTGAATTTCTGGTAACTTTGTTGAAAATATGATTTTATCTTTTAGCTACTGACAAATTATAAGTAGTTATAAAGGTTTAAGCTTTATTTTATATGGGTCAATCATTTTTTGTGCTGAAAAATACAATTAGGTTGAACAAATAAACTAATCAACACTGTAAAATATTATTGCTAATAATAATTTGCGAATTATTTATCTTATTCGTAGCAGAGAGTCATTACTATACCCTTAAGACGTAGAATGTTGATGATATCACGAAGGTAGAAATCCATCGAAGACGAGAAGTGTTCTGAACACCAATAACATTTAATAAACCCCATTAATCTCTTATACTGTTGGTTATCATATTTTTACTAATCAACAATCGCAGAAGTTAGTTCTGGAATTCTAATGAGAAGCCATGATTGGTGAAATTGACATGTATCGGGTGTACGGCAGTTATTCACAGATGACATTAGGAAATGATCGAGCAACATCGTGAAATTAACGCAGTTAACATCGTACAACATTCGATTCCGACTCGATAAACTAAATGTTAAAGGTTCGTGAGTAATACCACAAGTTATGGGTTTGACCCTTGGTGAGATTTTGTATGTGCACTGGTCAAGTCAGAAAGGAAGAATTGAACACACTTAAAGGTATTATATTTAACAACTTGCATTAAGCACAAAAAATATATAAAGGGATAATCGTTTAGCATGAACAACAGAAGGACTTCTATGTGAGTTACCTTACAGGTGAATCTGTAATTTATATATATCAATTATTCAGTTAACATGGAATAAGTGAGTTTACTCAATATGAAGATATAATTTCATCATTCAAGACAAATAACTAAAATGATTACCAAGTGCAAGCGTACTAGTAAAATTTATTCGACTGTCACCAGGTGAATTTCAAGTCTTTCTATATTTTCTATTGTACACATCTATATGTACATGAATATATTTAGCTAAACTGTTTTATTCGATACACTTGAATCACGTGTATTGTCAGAAACTTTTATCACGTTATAGTTTTAATATCAAATTTCCGGAAGATTTGTCCATGTATATGTTTATCGATAAGGGCAGGGAACTAGATACCAGTAAGTGTCTGAATGTTATAGTAATCATTGTTAATATGTAAAGTCTTGTGATGTGTGGTATCCGAAATCTGGTACTGATACACGGTATTCTATGCTCTAACTCCTCCCTCCCTAATTGACTACTTGAGAGAGAACACAAGAGTGAGCGAGAAAATGTATTCGACTATTCAATAAAGTGCATAAATACTCATGTATATATATATGTTCATTGTTTTTCGAAAACACTTAACTTTGTATCATTACCGTAGAGTCCACTGACATGAATTAGTTAGTTAGAACTGATTTTTATTCGTGGTCGTGAAATTCGTGTATACATATGTTGTTAGAGAAATAAGAATAAGTGACATTCTTATTAATACCGTTGAATGACGGCTCAGTGGTCTAGAGGTTAAATGTCCGCATGCGAGACTGAAGGTCTTGGATTCGAGTCCCGTGAACATTAGGGCTTGAAGATGTTATTTAAGGAGTATAATCCAGTGAAATAAATTTGGAAAGAGAATAAAAAGGGACATGAAGAATTCAAAAGATTAAAATTCGGGAGGACAAAAAGAGTGGATGCACCTTCGCACACCATTGCAAACAATTTTGAGCCATGATATTCAAGGTCTCTGACCATCGGTTACTATCATCTCGCGGATTCTAACCACATAGTCTACGCCCACCAACATGGTTCAGTCCACTTGTCAGTGACTTCATGGACTTGTGCCATGTTTTGGTTTGGCCGCCCCTAGCTTTCTTCCAACCTACTCCTTTACCACTGAACATCGCACGTCGAGTTAGTCGGTCGTTGGGCATGCGTAACACGTCCCAGCGATCTCAACTGATGAAGTTTCACTAATTCACCAATCGATTTGCCATCCTTACCTACTACCAGTTTCCTAACAACTGTGTTACTTACTAGATGGTCCCATGATATACGAGCAATGTTTCGAAGACACCTATGATCAAATACTAGTAACCTACGAATATCCTCTACTCTTACCGGCCATGTTTCACTGCCATAAAGTAGGACGGAACGAACTGCTGCGCAGTAAACACGTCCTTTGGTTGATAGACGGATATCTCGCCTACGCCATAAATGACGCAAGTTGGCAAAAGCTAGTCGAGCCTTCTGTATCCGTGCTGAGATTTCGTCACACACCAGACCACTAGGGCTGATGAAACTTCCAAGATAAATGAAGCGGTCGACACGCTCAACTACTTTACTCCCTATCACTAGTTCGGGTGTCGACGCAACCCAATCCTGAAGCAACACTTTACATTTCGAGAATGGGGGAGAATTGCATCCCGAACATGCTTGGATTGTTGCTTAGAGTGGTCAGAAGACTCTGCATTTTGTCAGCGTCTTCACCAAATAGAATTATGTCATCGCTTTATTCTAGGTCGTGGATGTACAATTTTCATGAGTCTCATACTAGAACGAAACGACCATTCATTGCTTCCAGGTTTTCAATGGTGGTCTAACTTCAATTAACTCATGAATTCAACTATTGAAATTATGATCATCTTCACAAACCTCATTCTGATTTATTTATTCATTTTATTTTGTTTACGTGTTATTTTAAAACAATCAAACAAATTCTTAAATTAACATTAAACATTAATTAACATTTAAGATAATAAATGAGATTATTTAATGTTACACTGTTTTGTTTTTTTAAATTAACGAATAAACTATCATACAATGATGATAACAGGAAGTGTCCTGTTAATTATCTTACTAATAATTTATACTACTGATATTATTACCATTAGTAGTATTATTATGTCAAATAATTCTGATAGATGAAAAGATAAAGAAAACACGTATAGATGTATGATTTATTGACTAATGAACATATTTATTTATTATTTTTATTACTGTTGAGTTATTTTAAAGAAACAAATCATCTAATGTTATTATTATCTTACTGTTAATATCATTTTGTGATGGAGTAGTCAATTGATGATACAGTTCATGTCACAAAATTTCGTAAAAAGATGATCAATCATAAAAGAAAAATTAGTCTATCAGATTAAAGTAATTTTTATTCAATTAACTTTTAATATATTCTCGATGGATTTATGTAGTCAGAGTGAATTTTACTCTTTAATCAGGGAGTGAACCTGGGTTCGTTGTCCTCGCATACGAACGCTTATCCCCTTTAGAACTCTGAGCCAGAATCTAGTAGTCTATAAGTCTAGCTTCAATTAACTTACATCTTAATTGCGTGAAAGGTAGCCACCCAAGACAATGGTAGATGATCGCGCGATATCATAGATAGTTAGATTTATACGCCGTTGGATTCTGACTCAATGGTCTAGAAGTTAAGTATTTGCGCGTGTGATCAAAAGTCATTGGTTCAATTCTTGTCTGCTGTATTGTTGCAGCGTACTGTAGAGTATTTCCTCACTAAAACTACATGACTATCCAGTGTCCCACAGATTTTTAATGGTTGTCTAATCTAGATCGGTTTGTAATTTCGATGACATTCAACAATTTTCACAAGCACATACTCAAAGTCAATGTGTAATTGATTTAACTCAAATGCAACTTAATGCTTCTAAAAGTACCGTTCAATAAAAGCTTTTATATGACGTCGGACTTTTCATGTTAGTCAGCGTGAAAGGAAGAAGAGGATAAATGCAACTCTATTCGTTGTATAAAGGTTGGAGTTGCTAAAGATCAGTTAAGTAAAATGGAATCAGTGATGGTAAAGATAACTATCCGATTTCTTTTAAGATTAATAAATTTTATTAATCAGTTCAATTAGGAAACAACAACCGATAATACAAACTGGGCAAATTCCCGACTTCTACTTCGTTCTAATTAGGAACCCTTTATCAGCTTTCATCCATAACCCTACTTGAAATTAAACAGGTCACGAGGAAAGCTAGTATACTTTTATATCGGCAAGTCGAAACTCATTGACTCTTAAATTCACTTGGAATTGTTTACTTGAACCTTCTCATTGATGTTTAGGACTGAAATTGATCAGTCTCTTATCGGCAAATGTGCATATTAAGCGTATTGACTCGATATGGCCTTAATTCAAAAGCATTATAAGTACAGATGGATAGAGGTTAGCAATGAAATCCAGTATGAGCTTTTAGTCCTATTTGGGACTACTG